ACTCAAATCCGTTGTAACAAGAAATGTGCTGTGGCGAGGTTTGACTGTAATATATAAAAAAAAATTAATAAATGGTGGTTAACTGGTTAATCAAAAAGAATTAACTGGTTAAAAAAAGATCTTAACCAGTTAACTGTTTAATTGCAGTTAACCGGTTAACCACGGTTAAATGGTTAACAGTGCCAACCCCTACAAATGACCTAATGACCTATGACCAATGGTCATATGACCACATGACCATTGGTCATCAAGAAAGTGTGATATGACCTGGTCATAACCCAACACTGAGTGAAGAAAAGGCTAGATTAGATGCTTTAGGATTAAAAGATAGAATAGTAGAAAGTAAAGTTAATGGCAATGCCCAACCTTGGTTAGATTCTAAATATCCTCTTGATAAAAGAAGTGAAGTGGAAGAACTAGATCTTAGCAGTTTAGGATTACAAGGAGAATTAAACTTAGAAGGATTTACTAATTTAAAGAGTTTAGATTGTAGTGATAATGAACTAACTGATTTGGATTTGTATGAGTGTAAGAAATTGGAATATTTGGATTGTTCAAATAATTATCAAAATGAAGAGGGAATTGATTTTTTAGATGTTAGTGCATGTAAGGAATTAAAAGAATTACATGCTAATCATTGTGGCTTAGGATTTTTGGAATTGGCAGAGCAAATACATACTTTAAAATTGGCTTCCAATAATCTAAGCAGCCTTTGACTTGATTTAACTAATCTTGCTGATTTAGAGTATTTAAATGTTGGTTTAAATGTTTTAGGTAGTTTAAATTTGACTAATAATAAAAAATTAAAGCACATTTACTGCTATGAAAATCAGATTGAAGAACTAGAAGTAAAGCATTTAACAGAATTAGAGAACTCATTTTGTTATCATAACAATTTGAGAAAATTGGATTGCAGTGGACTAAAAAACTTAAAAGATTTATATTGTGCTAATGCTTCCATTGATTTTGACAATTTACTAAAAACATTGAATGTTGATGGTTGTGAAGCACTAGAGAATTTGGATTGTGCAGAAAATAATGGTCTGAATGAATTAAATCTTATTAATTTACCTAAACTCAGTTTTGTTTCTATTAAAGAATATGGTCTTAATCAACTTGAAATCAAAAATTGTCCTAGTTTGGAGTTTTTGGATTTTAGTAGTGTGAGATCAAAATTCTGCATCTCACACAAATCTCTTGATTTGGTTAAAATATTATTTATCCCTTGTTACGGTAGTATCCAATTATGTAATTCTTTGATTACTTCTCTCACTATAGCGCTCCAGCTATTTAATTATTTACAGGGCAAGTTTTCTTACTTCCCTTCTGGTAACATTTTCTCAGCAGTTCTTTGTTATCTGCCTGAGCCAGCACGTCTCAATGATATTTATAATATCTCAAGTATCCGCCATGATACTTTCTACACTGATTATTATATTTATGGTTCAGCCTCTTAACTGACCACACCTAGCTAGGATTTCCACTATTTAGGCGTTGGCCTAATCTAAATAAAAATAAAGAAAATAAAATTAAAAGAAAAATACACACACAACTATACTTATCAAAGGCATCCCTCTGGTAAGATTAAGGTTTCTGGCCAAAACTGCTTCTATTAGTAGCCGTAATTGCCCAAATACTTTGGGCAAAAATTATTTTTTTATAAGCCCAAACTACTTTTTGTTATTAGCTGAAATTGGGCAAAATTATTTTAAAGTTGTTTAAGTTAAAACAAGTTGATTCATATAGTTTTTTAATGTTCATGGTTATAAAAAATGTTGAGAAGCCCAAATTGCCCAAACTAGTTTGGGATTTGAGAAAACAGTTTGGACCAGAAACCTTAGGTAAGATAGTAATTAATTAATATTTAGTTAAAGATTTATGTGGTTTTGGAAGCAGGTGGATAATTCCACTGGCAATAGATTATTTTAAGAGATATTTATGTTTGTATTTTATTAATAAGATATTATTGTTATTACAAGATAATAGTTAAGAATTAACTAACTGATTATTACATGAAAGAGAAATTTACAATGTATTTATACATGTTAAAGGTTCTATCATCTAGTTAACCGACTTCGTTGAATCCTAATTTATACTAATTATATGTTCCTTAATTATCATTTAAACCTTCCGTTTAGAATTATTTTCAAGTAATTTCTGGTCAATGTGAGTCATCTAAAATTCTTTTGTTTAAATATTATTCTGAGACTTTGTAATTTGTTACACTTTAAAATGTTGGAATATTTATATCTCCAATATTTGGGTTATTTTCCGAGAGCTATTTATTTGATTGGTGCGCCTTATTAATTAGTGTAACGTTTATTAAATTGTACCGGTTTATTTCTTGTTGAGTTATTCCGTGATAATCGTTTCCAGATTTTCACTTTGTGATACATGTAAATCATTTCCGATTTATATGCTCGTTTTCCGTGATCTATAACTTACTATTTTACAATATGAAAATCAAGCCTGATTAACAAATTGATTAAGGCTGAAAGCAAAACAAGAAGAAAAGGATTTTAACAATTTAGCCAGTGTTAAAGAAAAAATTAGAACTCTTTGTTTTATTCAACAAGGCTATACTGGTAAAGTAGTAATAGAGAACTTTCCTGATTTAACTCAGTTGAATTTAGGTAATAATGAATTAGAAGAGATCATTATTCACAATTGCCCTGATTTAAAATTAGTTCAAGTAGCTCACAATAAACTTACTAAGTTAAAGATAGAGAACTGTCCAAATGTTCAAGAAAACTATACTCATAATAACCAATTAACTAAGTGAGACTTTCCAGTTGAAGAATTAAAGCTAAAAACTTACAAACTATTTCTTCTGAAAGAGAAATTTACAATGTATTTATACATGTTAAAGGTTCTATCATCTAGTTAACCGACTTCGTTGAATCCTAATTTATACTAATTATATGTTCCTTAATTATCATTTAAACCTTCCGTTTAGAATTATTTTCAAGTAATTTCTGGTCAATGTGAGTCATCTAAAATTCTTTTGTTTAAATATTATTCTGAGACTTTGTAATTTGTTACACTTTAAAATGTTGGAATATTTATATCTCCAATATTTGGGTTATTTTCCGAGAGCTATTTATTTGATTGGTGCGCCTTATTAATTAGTGTAACGTTTATTAAATTGTACCGGTTTATTTCTTGTTGAGTTATTCCGTGATAATCGTTTCCAGATTTTCACTTTGTGATACATGTAAATCATTTCCGATTTATATGCTCGTTTTCCGTGATCTATAACTTACTATTTTACAATATGAAAATCAAGCCTGATTAACAAATTGATTAAGGCTGAAAGCAAAACAAGAAGAAAAGGATTTTAACAATTTAGCCAGTGTTAAAGAAAAAATTAGAACTCTTTGTTTTATTCAACAAGGCTATACTGGTAAAGTAGTAATAGAGAACTTTCCTGATTTAACTCAGTTGAATTTAGGTAATAATGAATTAGAAGAGATCATTATTCACAATTGCCCTGATTTAAAATTAGTTCAAGTAGCTCACAATAAACTTACTAAGTTAAAGATAGAGAACTGTCCAAATGTTCAAGAAAACTATACTCATAATAACCAATTAACTAAGTGAGACTTTCCAGTTGAAGAATTAAAGCTAAAAACTTACAAACTATTTCTTCTAGTGAAGAAAAAGTTAGATTAGATGCTTTAGGATTAAAAGATAGAAAGCAGAGTTGATGGCGATGCCTAAACTTGGTTAGATGCTAAATATCCTCTTGACAAAAGAAATGAAGTGGAAAAACTAGATCTTAGCAGTTTAGGATTACAAGGAGAATTAAACTTGGAAGGATTTACTAATTTAAAGAGTTTAGATTGTAGTGATAATGAACTAACCAATTTGGATAAGTGTGAGAAATTGGAATATTTAGATTGTTCAAATAATCAATTATGAAGTTTAGGTGTTAGTAGTAATGTTGTATGTGAAATTGAAATATTATGGAGTGGGGTGAAATTCTGATTGGCTAATTTGAATTTCATGCATGTAAATATGAATTTCACATATGTGAATTGCAAATTCACATAATTTCATTTTCATGTACAACAGTAATAAAGAATTGCAGGAAGTGCATAATAATCATAATGAAATATGAGAAACAGATTTCACTGGTCTAAGTAATTTACATACTTTAATGATAACATCTAATGAACTAGAAGAAGTTGATTTAAGTGACTTAACTAGTTTAAAAAGTTTAAATTGTGGTTTGAATAATATAGATGCTTTAGATTTAAGTAATAACTTAGAAATAGAAATTGTAATGATATTGAAGTTAAAGAGTTAAAAAATTTAAAGTATTTATATTGTTATATATAAAAACAGGTTAGAAGAATTCGACTGCCACAACTCAAAAAGTTTGAAAGAATTGTTTGTTTGTCATTAACAAGAAGTATCACTTTGTAACCTAAATGTTAAGGGTTGTGAAAATTTGGTAACACTAGATTATGCTGAGAACAGTTTAACAGAATTAGATATTAGCAACTTAAAAAACTTAGAGTTTGTTTCTTGTAAAGAAAATTTAATTAATAAAATTAATGCTAGTAATTTGAAATTTAGAATTTCTTGATTCTTCCAATCATCATTACTTATTTATTCCTCCTCTAATAGACAAGTCTTAAAACTTGAAGGGGTGGATAAATTAGAAAAACTATTTTTATGTCGAGCATGTCCTGACTGACAATCACTGAAAAATCTTCAAAGTGTTGGAATAGATAAAAAAGAAGTTCCAGAGTTTGAACAATTCTTACAAGAAAAAAGAGATAAACCAATCAAAGAAATCTTGGCTAATCCCAATAATTACTCTCTTGAAGATATTCTCAAATTAGAAGAGAAAGAGTTAAAAGAAAAGTTAGTTGAACTAGCAACTAAAAAACATGAAGAAATAAGATTACAAAAAGAAAGGGAGTTCATGGATAAATTAAGAAAGAGGTTTAATATAGATGAGGAAGGGAAATCTAACCAAAAAAAAAAAACAAGAAAGAAGAAAAGGCTCCACCCTTAGAAAAAGATAGTGATTCTCCAAGTGAAGTAACTCCTCTTCCTACTCCTCAGGAATCACCAACACCAAAGGATAATAATAAAGATAAAAATGTTTATGAGTTTAATGAAGAAGAGCAAAAGGTCTTTTCTCTTTCTGATTTAGAACAACTAGAACAGTTTTTTATTCAACATGATATAAAAAATGTTTACTCTTGATAGTAATAATAAACTAGTAGTTGAATATATTTCCTTATTCAAATCAATTTCCTTATTCAAATTAATTTTTTTATTCGGATTAATTTCCTTATTCAAATCAATTTTCTTATTTGAATTATTCGTTTTATTCAGATTATAATTTATTCAAATAAACTTTCAATGTAATTCGAATACTCAAATTCATAACAAATAAAGTGAATAATTCAAATAAACCTTATTTGAATAGAAACCCTACTTCCCTATAATAATAATAAATATTGCAAGTGTGCGATCTGAATTATTGGAGTCACCAAATATGGCAAACTAAATGAAAATCACTACATACAACCATACAAGCTTGATTAGGGCTTCTATTTGAATAAGGGCTTATTTGAATTATTTGTTTTACTCATTATTATTATGAATTTGAGTATTCGAATTGCATTGAATAAAATAAATAATGAATAATTTGATAATTTGATAATTTGATAATTCAAATAAACAAATAAAACAAATAATTCAATTGATAGTTTAAAATAAACCAAATAAACGAATAATAATTCGAGTAAAACGAATAATTAGAATATTTCAAACAAAAAGAATAAACGAATAGTTTGAATAAAAATGAATAAACAAATAGTTCGAATAAATGAATGACAACAATTCAAACAATAAAATGAATAAATGAATAATTCAAGCAAAACAAATAGTTTGAATAAATGAATGATAACAATTCAAATGATAAACAAATGATAATAATTTGAAAAATAAACGAATGATAACTATTCGAATAATAAACAAATGATACAATTTGATTGATAAACGAATGATGATAACAATTTGAATAATAAATGAATGATACAATTTGAACAATAAATGAATGATCTCAATTCGAATGATAAATGAATGATGTCAATTTGAATAATAACAATAAATGAATGATACAATTCAAATGATGATAACAATTCAAATAATACCGTAAAGTCTGGAAAGATAGCACCCCTCGAAAGATAGCACCCCCTACTTTAAAACAATTGAGTGTCAATATAAAAAAAATGTTACACATGTAAAAAGGGGATGCTATCTTTCCAGACTTTACAGTAAACGAATGATAATAACAATTCAAATAATAAACGAATGATACAATTCAAATAATAAAAGAATGATACAATTCAAATAATAAACAAATGATAACAATTCAAACAAAATGAATGATTTGAATAATTTGAACAAAAATTTTATTACGAATAGAAACTCAACTCTATTGCAGAGTCACTACTAAACCTGGCACAATAATGTTCAAACTAAACTAAAATATACAACTACACTACTTGAGGCGTCCCTACAAGCAATATAGTAAAACTAATAAAAGGGGTCACTAACTAATAATTAAATGTTGGCCAAACCATTAATCATCAGAAAGGGTTATGAATCAATCAATCATGCTAGATTTATCAATTGGGGCATACTGCAACAAAACCAGACAAATTGAACATTGCATTGGTGTTACCAAGGATTTCAGGGATCAAAATTTAGTTATCATCATCGCATTTGTTTGTAATATGGTGCAAGTCACTTAGTCACTGAACTTTTTATTGGCTGTGTAGATCCTATATCCTCTCCAAAAATGGAAATGTATGACCCAAAAAACAAATCATAG